TATGTTAATTGCAATATCCTTTATATTTGAATAAATGTTTGAACTCCCCTGGTAATTTTGAGAATGCTAAAATGTTTTGATATCTGTTGATTTGAAAAATAATCCACATTCTATATTAGGTGAAGGTACAGATTTTACAAAAATTATGGATCTTCTCATCAAAAATTGTGGTTTCCATGACAACCATGAGTGTCAGACCATTGAAACTTTACATACTACCTCAGAATGATCTCATCAACTCTCAATAAAATTATTATAATGATTGAAGATCAACTGAATTAATTATTCAATGATGATAATGTACCCCCCTGTAATTTTCCTTTTTAGGGTCAAAAACCCCATTTTGACCACTTTCGCCCCGGATACGGCGCGTCAGACATAAATTTCTGAAGTATCACATAAAAATACATAGGAAACAAGTAATTTCAATTTGTTCAGACACCGGTACATTTTTCGGTGCTACCTCACATACTATTAAGATTATCTAACTTACCTTACCTTAAAGACTACACATAAGACGTTATTGACTTCACCTTTCACACATTTAACATTACCTGGTTAATCTCAAATCTTACGCAGCTCACCATTAATATTTCCTTACTTTAAATGTTACCTTAATCATTTTAGTGTGATAATTTTTACCTGGCTAACCTAAACGATAACAAGCTAACCTCATTCTGAATTACAGTGAAATCTGTTTATTGGAACACCTCCAGATGTTGAACAAATCTATTAGTAGAACATTTTTCAGAGTCCCAACGCCAAGTGATTTAATGGTTAATGGACCTCTACAAGTTGAACACACCCGAATTGGAACACTTTTTAGAGGTACCAAAGGTGTTCCATTTTTACAGGTTTTACTGTATACAGAATTCTTAAAAAAATAGTTAGTTGACTTTAGATTTATTTTCGGATTTATCAGTCTGATGCTTCCCTACTTATTACTATGATTGGCAGCTGTGGCCCCAAGAACCTTAGAAGACATTCTCTGATTAAACATTTGAGTACTGCTTCTCTATTCATCTGTCAAATGCCAAGTTCTAACATCAAAAGTAATTAAACATCGTCATTTCAGGTCATTTTAATCACTAGGCCAAGGAACTCAGTATGAAATGTCCCTCGCCAGTTTGCACTGATGATATTTCTCACCTCAAAAAGGAGTTCCTATTTTTTGATTTCATATGTATCATTATTTCTCTAAAATGTTGCCTATGTTTCTCTCTAGAAAGCCCCCGTTTCTGTCTAGAAAGCCCATGTTTCTTTCTAAAATGCCCCCATTCTATCTAGAAGCCCATGTTTTCTCTACCCCCCCCATTCTCTATCTCTAGAAAGCCCATGTTTCTCTCTAAAAAGTCGCAATTCTCTCTAGAAAGCCTATGTTTCTCTAAAAAGTCCCAGATCTCTTTAGAAAGCCCATGTTTCTTTCTAAAGAGCCTCTATTTCTCACCTACAGTAGAAAGCCAATACTTCAGACAATCATAGGCAACACCTGGATAATATAATACAATAAGTTGATTTTAAGTGTTTATTTAATGCATATAGACTTTATTCATCACAAAGAACATTTCATCTGCATCATATTTCATTCTAGTTTATTCAAAGATTGGAAGAATATGCAGAAATAAATCAATCATGGTTAACCTTGCCTTGACCATGTATTGAGAACTAGATTAATATCTGTGGAAAAAATGTTAACATCTATTGATGATATGATGTCAGAATACATATAATATTAAATAACAAACAGAAGTTCTTGATTTTAACAGATTCAAGACAAGTCAGGGCCGTAGCCAGGATAGAGGGGTTGAGCATACGCCCATCCATCCCCCGCCAAATACGCCCATCCATCCCCCGCCAAATATTGTTTCAAAATCTTGCAGTTTTCACCATTTTTAGCACTTTTCAAGTGAATTTGGGCCACCCTGGGATTTTTTAAAAGCTGATCCCCCTTGACAAAATCTGCCTATGGCCCTGCAAGTATATATTAGTTACTGAATCTTCGGAGTGCCAAGTTCAATTTTCTTGTTATAAATAATAGCTTTAACAATACAGTAGATTTCCTGAGCTATTTCCAACTTATCGAGCTTTTGTAAAGTCTTACTTTCCAGCCAGGAGATTTTACACCTGAATTACGACTGTTTGAAGTGAGAATAGAAAATAAACTTATTAGGAAACTCTCACGATAAAATGAAGATTCATTCTTAAATTGACTTGAGTTTGTGCAATCAAGTAAAGCAAACTTATTTCACTGAAAGCCAAGTTGAACTCAATCCACCTAACATTCATAAAAATATCTTCGCAATATACACAAAATAATTGTTTGTTGTCAATACAGCCGAAGGTAAAAGCCCTCAATGTCTTCCTGTACATCTTACTTAAGTGTATCTTTTGTAGAATCATCCTACACAAGTCAATAAGCCAAAGGCAAGAGTTCCTGCAACATTACACTACACTATCCACTCATTGTTCTTCATTGAAAAGTACTTTACTTTTCAATGAATCGTCTCAAGAGAATCTTGATGGTTTTTGGTCAGTGACCTTAAGAGAGCAATTTTCCAGTTTTTCTATATATCTTTTTGCTCATATCATTCCTTGTCATGTCATTCCATATCTTGCATTGACATGCCAGTTCGTCATATTATCATATCATATAATTTTTTTGTCATATGATTTTCAGTAAATTTTTAGTAAATAAAACAAAATACATGTGTTTATAATTTTCTGTCATGTCATTTTTCCATTCCATCATTCATTGTCACATCATGTCATTCCTTGTCATGTCACCTCTAGTCATGTCATTTATTGTAATATATTATTACCACCTTGCCGGGCCAGTTCTAGGGGTTTTAGTGCTAGTTTAGAAGGCGTTTATTTTACTATATCGACCTGAGAAATGTGTGACGTCATAGTGGTGGTCCATATGGACCGGTCTAGAATATATTCTGGACCGGCAATTTTCCCCGGGAAATTAGATATCGTTCAATGCGTAAGATTTTCTTGCTGTTTCAGTCCTGGTCGTTAACGGTGGTAATAATACTAATAACGTCATTTCTGCGAGCGATATAGTGTAATATTGGACCCTGGTCCAATATTTCACTATATCGCCCTTAGAAATGACGTTATTGTACTATTGTTGTATTGTTGTGTTCTTGTCATGCCATTCTTTGTCATATAATTCTCAAATAGTCCTTGTTATGTCACGTAATGAATGTCACTCCTTGTTATGTTCTTGTCATATTAGTCCCTGTCATGTGTTTTTGAGCCATTGAATTTTCTGTCATTGTCTGTCATATTATACAATATCAATCCTTCACATATCATTCCTTCACATACCATTCTATTCTAGTATTCCAAATATGTCTCAGTTGTCAAATTCTATGTTTTTTCTTGTTAGATCTAATTTTCTTGCTAGGGAAATGACAAGTGGGCGCCAAGATGAATCTGATTCCCAAACTACAAAACACTTAGGCCAATTATATCTCATATTTTCTCTAAAGTTGTAACTTAAGATAACAGGTAACTAACAAGACGTTAGAACAATCCATATGACTTAATGCACAATATGCCCACACATTCAAGAATATTAAGAGAATCTCCAACTTCATCCCCTGATGGCTTATAGAAACTGTACATCAGTAGTTATAACATGTACAAACTGTGATGGCTTCACACATTTGTTCATCAACTGAATTAAAGGTCGACAAAATTGTGTTGAACACAATGGCAAATATATAGAACACCTAAAATGAACATCTGAGAAAATAGTGATATGCAAGAATGCATTGAATGTAACAAAATATGGTGGTATTCGCAAAACCATTAATCAGAAAGAAAATATAACAATATTTTTTTTCTTTTTCGACTGCTCCGGATACCCTCAACATGGGTTGATATGGTTACCAAAGAATTCAGAATTTCAAATGTATCATCTTGAAATTTATTTTGTGTATGTGTAATTATTAGATCAGCATTCTTTGAGAAAATGAGCCATATTCATTGATGTTTACAATATTAGTACTTTTGATTTTACTTCATGATTACCCTGTATTTCCAAAAATCAATTTGCTCCAGTTCTGAACCACTGAATCTTTTACAAGCTTATCAGTGAATTAAGCAAAATATCTTGCTAGAATATCATCATAAGATCGGATAAGAATAAAGTAATTAAGATACTTTTTGGTTCCTATGGCAACTATTCTTAGAGGATGATTACTTTCAGAATATTTTTCTTTTTGGAAACCAAGAAAACACTGAATTGGTGGCAGCGGAAAAGGATAATATTCCACTAGATATTTTGCTTAAATTAATAAAAACAATATGCTTATAATACACTTAGGGGTATCTTAATACTTTGATACATCTAATGCAAAGTAAAAACATTACTTAATTTTTCTACCTAATATTCAGTCATTTCCCCTTTCTCATCTGGGAAGACTTTATGACACCCCCCCCCTCTCCTTCCATCCCATCTATACCTCAAACAGAGGAATATGCCTAAAGCAACAGCAACTAAGTTTCCCTTAATACATGTAGTCAGGTCGCATTATCAGAAATCTAATAAATGGAAAATGAAATTATTAGAAAATTGTATTAATCGAAAAAAGAACATGAGACTTATGTCTCCGAGGTTCAGAAATGTGTAATTGAACTTTTCAAGATTCCTTTGCAAATTTTTTGAGATGAGATTTAGCAGTTCTATATAAAACTAAAGTCTGAAGACTATGCATGGATACGCAGACAGATAGACAGACAGACAGACCAATGAGTGGGTGATTCCATTTTCTGGTATTTTAATATAAACTTGAATGTTTATCTACATGTTCTTTTACTTTATTTCTTGCCTATTTCACTATTTTCTACTGTATTTTACATTATTAAGCAACTGCCTCTTAGATTTTCTCTTAGATACCTCATCAGATTCTAATTAGCATCTAATCACAGTTCAATCAAGGATAAAATATTTATCTTGGCAGGGGATAAATTATAAAGTTAATATCTACCTGATCTGTTTGCTACGACGTACACTCTGGTAACTGGCAAGAGTTGACATGTTCTTCGTCCCTATGGACAGCCCCTGAACTAAGCTACGCGCCAACATTTTCACAAATATTCAGCTCAGATTGGCTTCTTCACTCTACAATTATAATACAGTATATCAGTTGACATAACTGTGTAAAGATATAATATCATACATGAGAATGTGAATGTGAATGCTTTTTTCAATAATGGCACCAAATCTCTTCATTTTTAAATAATACCGTTCTAGAGAACTATTTGACAAATATATCTGTTTGAAATGCGACCAATGACTCATTTGTCTGGCATGACAACTAGAAGAACCTACCTTGACGGACTTATTTCTAGAGCAAGCCATGGAATAAATTCAAAATTTCTAAATCATGAGTAAAATTACAACATGCTCATCTCCCAGCTGAACCCATTTCGAAAGTTTCTGCACATGATACATAGTACTACAGTAATCTCCACAGGATTTTTCTCAAGAGGGTGCAAAATTCTCATTTTCATAATTCAGACCAAAATTGGTCAAAATATGCCTATTTTTCATGATTTTTCTCATTTTCAAGTGGGTGCAAATGAAATCTCAGGTGGGTGAAAGCTTAGTACTACTTTCAAAATCTCAGGTGGGTGCTGTGCCCACTTGCTTTAATGCTGGGGAGATCACTGTACTAGGTACAGTTAAACTGGAACTAAGTGTTAACCTGTCTTTGGAAAATTAAAAAAAACAGAACTGAAAAAGAGTTCATATTTTGAGGTGTTCAGATTAGAGAGATGATCTGATATACAAGTTTTAATTAATTAATATTGTGAATTGATAAATGATCTGTCTTCAGAATGTCTCGTATGTAACAGACAGATTATTTAAGTAAGCTATTCATAAGAGACATTTATTGACAATCTCAGGTCTACAATCAACTGAAATCTCAGACACATTCGAAGAGAACAGGATATGTCTGACAAAAAAAGAAAACATACGCGTACAGTACAGTATTGGTTTAAAATTGGTTTAATTACCAAGATATGATGTAATAGAAATTTTCAGACAGTACACAAAACACTAATTGTAGATTCACATGGAATTTATATCAGTAGACAACTTTTATGAATGATGGCGCAATTAAATATATATAAATATAATCATTTAAAACCTCAAAATGGTTCAATAACAATGTACATGTAATAGTTTCATTCCTTTGGTACCTCTAAAAAGTGTTCCACATGAGAGGTATTCCACATACAGAGTCTTCATTTAGCATCAATTCAGTTAATCTTGGGACTCTGAAGTGTTCAACTAATAGTGGTGTTCCACTTATAGAGGTGTTCCACTTTACAGGTTTCACCACATTCTACTTATAAATGTTCATTGAACATTGAATTAAGTCGATTGGTCTTGGGACTCTAAAAAGTGTTCCACTTATAGAGGTGTTCTACTTTACAGGTTCCACTGTGATTGGGAAAGATATTTTAACATTACATCACTGTACACCTTTAATACATTGAGTCTTATGGTAAAGGTGTTAATAATATTTATGAATGTTGTTCAATGTCTCAATGCACTTGAGAAACCAAAAATTTAACCTGACATTGTGACCTGAGTTATAAAATACTTGCAATAGATAGGAGTTTAACATGTAAAACATGACTGAAAGTTTGTAGATTATCGTAAAGCACTTGTAGACATGTACTTGGGCCTTAGGTTCATTTGTCTACTATACTATACTTAAATTCACCATATGGTAAAGGCAAACATTTTCTTAAGACATTTTATAATCTGTTTTGTTATAATTTTCATTGCATTTGAAGAACATTTTTGAACAATTATGTTGATATAAGATTACTTGCTTATCAGGGGGTGTATAAATGTCACATTCTTAACGATGAACATTTATAAAAAATATATAGAGAAATATAGAGGAAAATAGAATCATGTCCATCTCAAACAGTAGCATGCAACTGTACATCGCTGTTTTCTAAAACAGTGCTGTAAAACAGTACTGTACTGTTCAAAGCAGGTGATGTTAGAATAGCACTGTACATTGCTGAACAGCGCAGTGCTCAAAATGCCCTGTTCAGTACTGTTTATAGTGCTGTTCAGCGCTGAAAGATGATGTTGCGGATTGGGGGTGAAAAATAGAATTACATATTCATATTGCAACACAATTGCAACACAGACTAATTGATAAAATGACACTGAAGACTATAAATTGACTTATTTTTACATTTTACATAAAAATATTGTTTTATTTCTGTGTCAGCAAACAATTCCATCTTAAAAAAAGTTGTATAAATATTTACAAGTCTAAGGCTTTGTAAATATTCCTTAACTTCAGCAGCCCATTTATCTTTCGTAGAACTTCTTGAAAACAAATGCTATCAATGATAATTCAACTTGCTTCATTCATTGGTGTTAAAATTTTAAATCTAAGTTATACAAAATCAAGTTATCTTTTGAAATGCAATTAAACAGTGAGATCGGACAGTTAAGACTTATAATGATGAATGATTATTGTGATACATATTGACTAAACAATGTGAAATTTGAAAATAGCATTTTGTTGGGAATTCTTGGGCACCTTTAAGTATGAGATGACAACAGTTATATAAGGTCAGATCTAGATATTTAGATATAGGTTTTTCCTTATATAAACATGTACGTGTTCATTGGATGTTGGATTATGCAGCCTGATATAATCCAATATACAGGTAGTAGGTACATGTACATCATTTAGATAGGTCCATCGTTAACGATGACATCTATACTTATAGCATAAATTAAATATTGCATTGATGGTGTTGCCATAGTTATGATGATGTTATGGTTTATACATCTGAATCAAAACAACAAGAAAAGATGGCAGGGTAGAATATGAATTCCCATATGGAAATCTTGTATAAATTAGTCTTGCTAAAGCCCTTGTGACCCCCCCCCCCTTCCCTCTACTACATACCTCCCCACAAGTGATGAAGAAGATAAGGAGGGGGTCCAAGATTATTCTTCGATTGATGTCAAGCATTTTGATTCCGCTGAGTTATCACATATTCTAGTGATTTTGTATTGAAATTATTGTAATATGTTCAAGAACAATGTAAGCTCAAAATAAACAATCAATGCTTTATGAACAAATAACTTTATCTAAATATAACTTAAATATAACTATTAAAAGCTCGGATTAGCCTCATAGCTCTCTATGAAGTCCATGAACAGAAAATTACATTTAGGAAAAAAGATTTCACAAAGTTATACATTTAAAGGAAAACTTACCTAGAGAACTTGAAGATTCTTTGACTCTCTTAGATGAGACTGTGCCTCGGTATGTCAGCAAAAAACTGAAAATAAAAGCAGAATATTGTAATACCAGATAACAGATGAGCTAAGAGAGTAAAAATGAAATAAAAAAAATGAGATATAGCAATCATATGTTTAAAACTGCAGTCCCTTGGCATTACATTACACCTTTTAGACTCATCAATTAAGTATTTCAACATTATAAACCTAGAATTAGCATCAAAGACAAAACTAATACAGTAGCAAATATTCAACCAAGAAAGCATTAACATCTTAGACCTACCTATAATGTTACCACAATGTTGAATGAATAAATGAAATGAATAGGTATTGTAAAAGTAATAGTGTAAAAAGTCATGTACGCAAAATGTAGAAATGATACTTTGGAATGACATGAATATAAGGACAAATAGCGCATGAGCTACTTATTAATAAACTGAGGGAAAGACCTTGATACCCATTAACCTGTTTATAAAACTTCTCTTATAAAATTACTCGTACAAAGCTACACCAGACAGTCAATTGTACTCCCTATATACAGTGAAACTTGTTAGTTGGAACCAGGAAAATGTAACCCTGATACCAAATAAAGCTCTCTTAGAGAGATACATTTGGTCAAACTAAGAGGTGTTCACATACATCCCTAATCCGCAACATCATCTTGTGAACAGTACTGTACAGTGCAGTTCGAGTACTGCGCTGTAAAGCTATTTATCGTATGATCTGTAAAATGAAGCCCTCTGATTGGTCAGTTTTTGTGCTGTACCAACCTGTATTGCTACTGAGTTTAACTTGATCATGTCTCGATATTCTGTATTGGCACTCGACTTCGTCTCGTTCCAATACGGAATTCTCGAGCAGAATATATCCTGTATTGCACTTCAAATCATTCAATAACTTATAGTACAGTGCTATTCTAGCATCACCTGTTTTGAACAGTTAATACAGTACTGTTTTAACAGCACTGTTTTTGAAAACAGTGATGTACAGTATTGTTTTTACAGAGCTGTACAATACTTTTTTGTAAACAGCGCTGTTTGATGCAGTTTGAGATTGGCAGTGTACAAAGGTTTTATTGTACTTGTTTTGTTTACTTGTCTATACAGGTACAGGTTCACTTTATCTACACTATTAATTAAATTAGAAATAACCAGCTACATGTATTTTTCTATTAATACCAGTGTTCTCCACAGGATTCTTTTTCAAGTGAGTGCAAAATTCTCATTTCGTTTCTCATTCTCGGTGCAAGCCTGTTCTTAAAATCTCAGTTGAGTGCTACACCCACTTGTTTAAATGTATGGGAGATCACTGTGATACTTAGCTAACATTTATTTCACATTCAAACTCCCACACAAAAGTATTTGAGATTATTAAGATTGCCAAAATTTTCAACAAGAGTTTTTCAATAATTAAAGAATGCAAACAGCCGCAAAAGTACAGATATTTAATCACATAAAAGCATTAGTTATGATTAAACAAGTTACTAAGTAAATAGTTATTAATTCATATTTGTAGCTGAGCAAACATATTATTGCTTTACTGCATTATTATATATCAGACATGTTTGATGGGTGCATTTATAAATATCTAGCCAAATATAGATGGCAGTTAAACAGATAAAAATCAGAATGTTTATAGGTTAAGGTTGTTCTGCACTTTCACAAAAAATGAAAACAAAATATTGAAAAAATGTATGAATTAATTAAATGAATACATGCAAGGAGCTCAGGAGTCTCGACCTCATGGTTATGGCGACAGTCCCTACAGTGATCTCCCCAGCATTAAAGCAAGTGGGCGTAGCACCCACTTGAAAATGAGAAAAATAATGAAAAATTGGCATATTTTGACCAATTTCGGACTCATTTGAGAAAATTAGAATTTTCCACCCACTTGAGAAAAAATCCTGGGGAGAACACTGGTCTAGCTTAGCGTGTTCTGTGCTTTGGCTGCTTGGTTAACTCAAAAACCCTCAAAAAGGTTGCTTCATCAGCCAATCTGATGAGAAGGAACAGCCAGAACATAAAAGAGGTAACATCACACACACAATGAGGTCAACTGTCCCCGAGAACTGCCCTTAAGATAAAATACTTTGATTTTAACAATGTATTATATCATATTCTACCACGATAAAATGTGACATCAATTATTGGTAATTTTGATCATGAAAATTATATAAGAATTCTCATCATGATGAAATACTGTCTATGTGAGTGTCATCTTGGCTTTATACATTTGAACTTATTATGACTAGCCTCAATTGAGGTACACGTTCTGCCCAAGGCCAGGTCTACTTGAAAAACCAAGTTAAGTAGTAATTTATAAGAAAAAATGAAGCACCCAAACAAACAATTAATCCATGTGTTGAATGTCATGTACATACACACACAAGTTTATTGTACTTTAAGATTAAGGTTGTTCACATGTGATTTTATATTCCAAATATAAATGCTACGACTGAAGAGAGCCAAGAGAGAGAATAAAACTTCATATCATCACCATGACTTTATATTTCACCATGACTATGCAATATTTTATATTCAGCATTCACATTTGTAAAGTGCCCCATGTGTCAGTGAGACAGACATGATTGTGAGTCAATAAAAGAGATATAAAACCACAACTCAGCCGATCCTATAGCACCTCATATTGCAATCAAGTACATTTATAAATGTAAATGATAGGCCTGTCTCTGTACAAAATGTCTCTACAGTATTTGTAAAAGTATTTGTAATAGTACCATGTGACTGTGTCACATATCTGATACACAAAATACAGTTTCTGATTACATCTAGATCTCAATGGCACCTTCAGAGTTATAATGAAAACATATGTAAATATTATCAGTTCACTATACATAGCGTGTCATAAATTTTTTTTAAAAATAGTGCCTTTTAGAGTCTGATAGTCTGGTGCCATTGTCAATAGCTTTTACTCCTCGCATTATTGTACTACTTAAAACAGAAATGAAGGTTACCCGCAAATGATAAAGCCATTGCATGGAGAAGGTAATTTTCATTGGTATAATGAATATGAGTTCAAAAAATAACTTGTGAAGATTTCTTAGTGTTTTTATGAAAAATAGCATGCTCCCTATGCCAGGCAAATCTTTTGATTAAGAGAATGTCTGAATGTAAGTAATAATCAATTTGCGATTTAACCAATAAATCATGATGGGAATTAATTAAAACATAAAAATGAGATTCCCTGTCTCTTGAAAAAGTTGGGGTCGGATTAGATAGAAAAACACAAAGATGACCTCAACTTAATGGGAATTTATATAGAGACGACCCCAATCATCGATTGATCAAATGACATAGTGGCTAACAAAAAAAATAGCGATTCAGAATTTGTACAAATGCATTAATTAATATAATTTTAATTTCTGGTTCATTTATCAATATAATAGCTTATTATTTAACTATCAACATAAAGAAGGATGTAAGGGAGGAATTTGTTTTATCAAAAAACATCGCATCGTCATTCGATATTCAGAAACTACATATATATAGGGAGTAAGCAAACACCCCGTCCCCGTGCCTAAATGGTGGAAATTCACCAAGGTGGTAAGCAAGAGAGGCAATTATGATGTCATCTCTAAGCTCTGGGCTTTCCCTCCTTTCGGGTCACATATTCTCTCCATGGCTGCTCTAAGTTTAAATGAGCCAAAAAAGAAAGTGGGTCTGGTACCACAGTGAACAGAATTTCCTTCATGTTATTATTTAAAACTACAAGTGTGGAATCTTATTCATCAAAAATATTGATGTTTTTTAAATGGATAATACCATGGGCATTCAACACATCTTTATCATGATCTTTGAGATTTGGCAGTCACACAGGCCCGAGATAACACCCTAAAGGATCTAGAAAAAAACATATTTCATACCGCAATATTGCTACATGTATTGTGGCAAGATAATACTGCAAATGTAAGCACTGCAAAATTCGTAAAATTCATAAAATTGATTCACGCTCCACCATCTGACCAATCACATTGCGGGATGCATGCACAGTATGCATGTAGAAATTAAATTCTACCTGGACCTTTCCTAACCAGATCCATGCTTATTGTATTGAACTTCCAACTACCGCGTCTGGTACATACATGTACAGTTGGGGACAAAAATATATGACAGGTCGATTTTCGATCACCATTTCCTAATTATGGTGGTCTGAAAGCCCATAATTTCCAATATTGTCTAGATACATATCCCTTAAAATTTGTATATTTTACATTTTGTATAATCTCATCCACTGATTTATGGCCTCTTGTAAATTCTCTTATTTTTAACATGGGAAATCCTCACTTCAGCAAATCCACCTGTCATTTATTTATGTCCCCAACTGTATTCAGTCAGCAAACCAAAATATGAGCATCATTCAATCATTGAATAGACCTAATGTGGTTGTCATTTCACCTCAATCAAATTTAATTTGACCAATCACAATTCGGTAATCTCCAGAAATTGAATTGACGAGAAGTGACCTCATTTGACCACTCAAATCCATGTTCCGATCAACAAGTGTTTGTTTTGAAAAACCCGGAAGTCAGTTCGATGTTGAAAGATGATAAAATGGAGAGCTTATGTCTAATTGTAGCTCTGACAGCGAGTAACCTCGCATAAAAATGATTGAAAATGTAAAGAATATCCATTTAAGAAACATTTAAAAGCATTACCTACAATGTCAGTGTCGTACTTCTTCAGATATCGATAAAAATATGCAGAATCTCAAACTTGATCAAGATTTAAAGGGCGCTGACATCTTGGATTTTTGATGCATTGTGGGATTGATTATCCGGGCACCTGCTATATTTTCCCAGCACACTTTGCGAATATTATTATTTTTCTGTGCAGAAATGGGAAATGATCTGCAAGATAGAGAGAAAATATGGATAAATGCCTTGATTTAGAAACATGGAACCACATAAATTTTCCACCATGATGAATGTTAAGAAGAAGTTCGTGTCCAAGGTGTTGGACGGGCTCAGATATTCCGTTAGCTCCACGCCTAAAAGTGAGACAGAAATTGAGGAATCTTTGAGAGATGAGAATTTCCAAGTTGCAAAGGTATTCTATTCAGCTGTCATATTGAAACATTTCATTCATAAATATTTATGAATGTTTGCATTGGAACACCATGAATATTATGCATTTTGTTTATCGTACTGTGTTTTTCATTACAGACCGTGCGACATGGATTTCCATACAACCCCACTTGCATGGCGTACGATCCTGTACAACACATCTTCGCAGTGGGAACGAAGAGTGGATCAGTCAGAATGTATCCTTTTCAACATGACAAATATGTAAAATTTTAGGTCTTGTCAGCTACATCGTGCACATATTGAACCCAAGGTAAGCAATTTTAATGGAGTATGCATCTCTAATTAGTGTCAACAATGTAATATTTTTTATAAAAAAAAACAAATAGAGTGTACATATGCTATGACACACAACAAACTATGCTCACACTAGTCTCTGTTTCTACACACAGAAGTTACATGTAATGATCATGTAAGACTGTTTACACAAGGTCATGAGATATACTGTAGTCCAACCTAGTATTGACATATGTATTGTATTCTGTGCTTGTGCACTGCATATATTATCTAATGAAATGTAGACCAATCAATGTATTGATTCAGCTTGCGGTTTATACATGTATGCTTTTGCAATTACTGCAAATTATGGTAAACACATTGTTGAAATTGCTAGTGATGGTTCTGGATTAGATGCTAGAGCCAAACAAACATTGACCTCAAACTTGGAAGCTTGAAATTGTATCTGAGCTAGAGCAAATGTCAATGTGTGTTTTAACAGACATTGCAATTTATCATACTATTTTGTTCCTACAATTACAGTGTTGAGAATTAACAAGTGTATATTGGGTCATTTCAGATGAAGATATTTTGGGCAATTTACAATTTCCTTTTGTGGTTATCTTGATCAAAATAGACTTATGACTGGAAGTTATTTTTCTAGTAAACCAACATGTAGGTGGTTACAAAGTCCATCTATTTGTGTCAGCTTACAAGTTCGAGCTGATTCCCATAGTTCTTGTGAGATAACTCTCACAGATGATGTTGTTTTTCCAGATCTTATAAAAAGATACTGATTTTAAATTAGGTAAACTAATGACTTAGTTCTAAATTGAGTATTGACAATGATGTGCTCTATGATGAAGTTGTATACATTCTTGTAATCATTTCTGCATATGTTATACAGTCCTTCTAATTATTTATCTGTAAGTCGTACAGTTCTTGGAATCATTTACTTGTAAGTTATACAGTTCTTGGAATCATTGTAAGTTATGCAGTTCTTGTGATCATTTGCTTGTAAGTTTCACAGTTGTTGGAACCATTTACTTGTAAGTTAAAGTTCTTAGAATCATTTACTTTTAAGTTACAGTTCTTGGACTCATTTACTTGTAAGTTATACAGTTCTTGGAAGCATTTACTTGTAAGTTATACAGTTCTTGCAAGCATTTACTTGTAAGTTAAAGTTTTTGGAATCATTTACTTGTAAGTTATACAGTTCTTGGAATCATTTACTTGTAAGTTATATAGTCCAGGGAATCACATGTAAGTTGTATAGTTCAGGGAATTATTAGAAAGACTGTTGTCTATGAATAAATAATTTGATTTTTGTTTTTGAACAACCTTTATTATTCTAAGTTAGACAGAAATATATGAAGCTAGTATTATTGCTTCCCCCCTCAATTAAATATTTACGATAACATTTATTGACAAGGTGTAAAAACAATAAAAAGTCACTCAATGCATGTTATGAGGCCATTGACAAGAAGCCAGATTATTTTTGGAACATGTTTTTATTTTTGAGAAATGTGGGCAATGACGTCAAAAAGTTGAATTTGCGAAGTAGCTCCTCCTTCCTTTGTCTTACTCCCTCCCCCCTCTTCCATCTTAGATGAGGTCTTGCATGTTATCATGCTTTGTAAGAAAGATTACGATGAACTCTGCAAAGCACTGTTTACATGATTTATGAATAATCATAAACGAATCGTATAATAATCGTACATAGACATACAGTACATAGATATATATTGACTAGAAAATCCTGAATAACGATACTGAGATGGTACGTCATCAAGTTTTCCGTTTGTTTAGGAATAGTATATGCTTGTCATACAGTTTATTGAAATTCAGCACATACAAAGAACTGAGATCCAAAGTTACTGCATTGAATGATTGATTTCAGTTCTGTACATGCTGTTTTGTTGAAAAATTGGATTTTTACTCCAGGGAATATTGCATTCTAATGATTGTGTCAATGGTATTCCAATGATAAAGAACATTGCATATATTATATACTTGAATGTTCAAGTATACATCCTACATATAAATACCTCGCAGCCTTATTTAGCGATAATTTATTATCATCGGAGTTGAGGGAAATTCTCTTGAAAAATTCGATATACTGCAAGGTGTCTTTTGGATACCGTTGGAAATAATCCGATTATATTGATCATTCATAGTCTTGTTGAGAATTCAGAATATTATGACATTTTGTGTTTCGGAATTTTATGGATAACTATGTTTCATTGGAAATATTGAGAAAATACTAATGTTTTTTTTTTTATATAGCTGATGTACTACTTTCACAAATGGAGGGCATTGATTACTGTTCTATCCCTCTTTCTACCAAAGGGAGGCCCTTCTAATGTCCCCATCTGATATTGGTAAGGAGTAGACAGGTCTTCAAATATAGGGGGAAATACCACGTCATATATGGAAACAAAAATGATAGAAATATTCTCTGATTCGATGATGTAATATAATATAATTTTCAATTTTTGAAAATGAACTGTGTCTTATCTGTGATTTTTCATTTGAAATTTTTTCAAACAAAAAATACAAATGTTGATAAAAAATCTGACGAGAACAAAGAGTGATATTTCTGGCAATTTCTCTAGGAACTGTTGATGAATGTGATTAATCTGAACAGCCAACAGTTCTTCATTATTATCTTTCCTTAGTCTCTAGTCCCTACTTTCATTAAACCTCCAGGAACCTGGACTCCCTTGTGTAAAATTTCACTGAGGTATTATCCATTTTATACAATTTTCAACTGCAATAAAAATAAACTGCTCAGTTTTTATTGCATTTTCTCACAATTTATGGTGTTATCTAAAATAGTGTGTATTTATTCATTGCTATAACACTCATATTCTCCCTATTTTAGTTATAAGATGTGACATGTGTGATATTTCGTTTGAGGTCTTTCATTTCCGTTATGATGTATGAGGCATTGCTCAGTAAATCTTTCCTCGGCTTTATCTGTCCATATATCAACTCATATAGATCATCAATAAAGCTAAATATACATTGTATAATTTGTCTGAACTTATATTTGAAAAATTCATGTTTTCTTAGACCTTCTATAATGCATGATCCATTCAGTATACCATGTTGAGTCAGTTAGGTCATCAAATTCGCAAATTCAATGTTTTATTCATTTGAAAACAGTTCATATATCATCATATCATATATGCATATTAAGATAGAATTACATAGTACAGTATACATTGAAAGACCAACATCACTAGCTGATTACTAGTTCCATTGATGACCACCTAATCTCTTTTCTTAGGGAACTGGACTCATTTATGTATGTATACATGTTCCCAGGGCCTATGGTACCATTTACCGCAGTGTGAGGTCATAGCCTATACAGAACAATACCCCTTAGCTACATGGCTTGATTAACTGAAATAAATAATTTAAAAAAGCAAAAGAAGGAAGCGAGGACTTGAAGCCGAAGACTAATTAACTAGATCAGGGAATATTTTCTCAGAATGCATCTCATCTTGTATTTTCATAAAACACGGGAGGCAAAACAATGAAAACACAAGAGGCAAAATAAGGATAAGGAAAATATGAGAGGCAAGCTATATGTGAGGCAATACTAGAAAAAAATGAGCTTTATATTTTGGCGAAGAAAATTGTCCATGAGTTGTTTTCAATAAAGAAGGAAAATTTTGAATCTTTGATGATATCATTTGTTTCCAAGAAAGAAAATAAAGTTAGTTGTAAAATTATAAGAGATAAGCTGCCAAAAATGAGGAAGTACCAATGTTACGTATCTTTTTCTTATTAGCTCGCATGGTGAGCCTATGGTATCACTCTCTTGTTTGGCTGTTTTGACAAATGAAAACTATTAATTGTCTAATGTTACAGTGATCTCCCAGCGTTAAAGCAAGTGGGCGCAGCACCCACCTTGAGATTTTAAAAACAGGCTTGCATCCACCAGACAATTCATTTGCACCTACATGTACTTGAAAATGAAAAAATTATGAAAAATTAGCATATTTTGACCAATTTCAGTCTGAATTGTGAAAATGAGAATTTTGCACCCACTTAGAGTAGCAAACATGCCAAATATTTAGCAGTTTTGATTTGGAGCAGATAATCAAAAATATAAATCTGCTTTAGCAAGGTACATGTTATGTTATGTTACTTGAAATCTAAGCTGTTGATACAGTTTGACCTACAAAAGTGAACTTTTTGTACTCTCAGCCCAATGAATTTCATTGTGAGTGCAGTAATGACAGTTTCTTGGAAAGTAATTGCTTTTTAAATGTGTAAACCAATTATCTATTAAGTGTGATACAAGGGAACATTGTTTAATTTTAGTGAAAGCTCAACACACTAAAGTGGTGATATTCCTGGTCATAGTGAACCCAACTAACATTTAGGGATGGTATTCAAGTATCAACAGTTTGAAATAAGGACAAATATTCAGAAAAGTCTTATTAAATTATTTTATATGTCACTATCTCTTGGGATTGTATATGACGTCATTGACAAATAATTTGGACAGGCAGCATGCTTTAGCTGGCTTATATACATGATCATAGGTTGCAATAGGGAATACAATTATGTCAGTTGTACTATAGTCAAAAATAAACGGGTAATATTTCAGAATAATTAAGACTTCAATCGCTGGATCATTTATTGGCGATTTTAAGATCATGTGTTGATGAGTTAAGATCACATGTTGATGAGTTTATGTCTGAACTCAATATCTAAATGATCTAAATTTATATGAAGAAGCTGAGGTATAAGAATATCCCCGGGCTTTGAGCCATTAGAAAAGATATGTAACTAAATTGAATTATGTCTGACCTCAAAATCATGTTATATCATCTCTGTGCATAATAACCACATTCAGTCTTTTTTGGAAATATATAAGACCAGACAAGTCAATATGATGTTAAGGTTGTTGATCTACTTAAGGTTATTGTATTTTACAAACATTCTG